GGAGAGCACACGGAGATCACAAACAAGCTGCGTCTCTCTTCACAGCGCTTGTTGATTCTATATAGACCCTGAAGCCGTACTGCACATAATCGACTGTTAATCGGGAACCGGTCCAGTAGTGCAGCCTCGGCCTTGCCATTTCGTGCTGTACCTACACCAGCCAAACACGCTGAGGCTGCTTCTGGGTCGCCAGAAATACGCAGGTGATATCTGGCTTCGTGGTCAGTGGGGGATGTCAATGTAAGCATAGTGCTGGGACCTTGCAATCAGGCTTCTGATAAACAGCAGACATCAATATTAAGGGACCAGGGTGCGCGCTAGACCGGCTTGCTGTCCAATCTGCATGAGTGTCCGAAGGTTGAAGCACACCAGACGGAACGAGGATCGGGAACGAAGAAGAGCCATAGGTTGAACATCTTGGTCTGCGGCGCAACCGGAACCGCAGCCAGATTGTTGAACACATGAATCGGGTAACGGAAAGTGAGGATTGTTAGCAAACAAACAATTGGCGTGTGATGAAGTCGCGTGAATGTGAGAAGCAGAAACAGTAGCTGATGAGCACGTTGTAGTACAGTCCATGATTTTAGCAGATCACCAAACAGGGGCTCAGTACTCCCCATGAAATCAGCGCAATCGATGGACTACAATGCCCCACCGAGGTGGAACACTGTCGCCGAACACTTCGCTGGAACGGGGTATACTCGAACCACACAGCTGGCAACACGAGGGGGTAGTTCGGCAAGCCGGCCCTCCAACCGAGTATTCCAGTTTCTCCTTACAAAAGTTAGCAAATACAATCCGACAACACAGATCTTCTATCACTGACAGTAAGCGTGCACGAGTTTCTGGTAAACTTAAAATTTTTAACGGCTTTCGTCTTATTACTGTATTGTTCAAATTGCCAAAGGGAACTAACTGCTTTGAGTAGATATCGATCACAATTCGTGGTACAGATATAGTGCATCCGAACCACGACGGAATAAGAAAACAGGAATGGGAAAACGGGAATGAGAAGAAAAAAACGAACTTTTTTGTCCAGTTTTCTGCTCAAAGTTTGGTATTTTGATAGTTTGTTTTATTGGGGGAGGGAAAGGAAATCACCGCAACACGCAGAGATACACGTCCGCCACTGACGTCGGTCTTGAGCCATGACTTCTAGGGCCACCAATCAGCGACACTCGGTATCTCCGGGATCCCAAGCAGGAAGTCGAGGACAACAGACCGAGGCCAACCGTTTGGTCGGATGTTCCATGCCGCTTTTTCAAGTCGCAGGATGTCCATCGCGCCGCCTCCTTTAACCCTGCGCAATACATTTTCAAACCACCGAAATTGACGCAGCAAGACGAGCTCCTCGAGCGAGTATCTGCGTCCACTTAAGACACTGTCTAACTTCCACATTGGGTACGTGGTGCAGCCACCACATAAGGGGAATAGACCGCAAGCAACGGTGTCGAAGACAGGCAGCCGGCGCAGATCAACGGTAGGAACAGGCCATGTCTCCCAACCGTACAGCGCAGACAATCGCACAATAAACCTGCCCTTTGATGGAGAGACGGATGTCATACTGATGACACAAGTGTCTCAGCCTGGAGAATATGAGACGAGCTCTTGAGATACGCATCAAAACCTTGTCTCCAACAGTGAGGTAACTTCCTAGGTAGACAAAACTCTTCACGAACTCCAGTGTCTTAGTGGCAAAAGTGAAAAAGAATCGGGAGATAGGGCATCCATGTCGAACCCCATTGGTGAAAATAAAGGAAGGCGAAATCTTGTCATAAGCCTTAACTCTGTCCGATCCGACAGAATTGATCCGCCGGAAGACACGTATGGAATCGACAACGTTCTACTGCTGCGACATTTGAGGCGGCTCAAAAATGTCCACCGAATGGATGCTACCAGGAAACCAGGACGCATGTCGTATGGTCAAGTACGTGCAGGTAAGCGAAACGTGGATAGACTGAAGCTATGCTATCAGAGCCTGATAACGTGAGTTTAACACGGACAAGCATTGACTTTAGGGGTGAGAGGTAATAGTCGTGGGTCGCCATCAATAACGTGATCACAAAGATGCCGCTGCTAAGGTGCATCAAAAACGAATGCTGCGTCAGAAATAAAAACGACTAGTCATACAAGTGACAGATACCGATGGAGCCCAGTCCGCCGACATCATGCCCCCGGTACAGTACCACATAGTTGTGTGTGCCGCGGCCAATCCGGTCCGGTAAATTGTCAATTTAGCCATAGCGGACCTAGATCGAAGAGTAAGCGGTAGCGCAGTAAAAATACACCGCTTTTGATTTCAACTACTAACCCAGACCAATAATGCAGTAGATGCGGCATGTGCGCTGCATCGTCGCTAAAAGTAGCCTGTACAATTGCTTGTAGACTTGCCTTAGTGCATCTCTGACGGCTCTTTGCGGTTGCTATTCCAAATCTGACTGTATTTGGCGTAAATGTCGTTAAGATGTCTACCTATAGAATACCATCACCCAGACTGCTGGCTCAAGGAGGATACTAATCATGCAGTCCTCGTGGCAGTGCCAATCCCAAAAAGTGATTTTATTCAGTGTGGGAGTCCTACGACCCAGCCACCGTCTGGTATGAACGTATTTCCTTATTCAAATAAGTGATGTGCATGTTGAATGAGTGTAGTCAGGCTCCGAGTAAATTGTGGTTTCTACCCACGTGTCTTCCAGTCTTATTCCTTAGAACTTACCCCGGATATGGAGCATGCAAATGGGGCTGTGAGCGATGAAGCATAAACCACCATGGTCTCTTAATGGATGCAACCACCCTATAGCTGTCTTATGGAGGCCACAGTGGCAAGCAAATCTGGAACCGGATGCCGCTAACAAAGTATGTATATGTGCCTCGTGCTGAGGTTGATCTTGCGCCTACTAGGCATCTTCACCGCAGTTAAACTAGAGCGACTTACGCTCGTTCCGTAAAACAGCAGACTTGGCCGATTAATTTATATATATATATATATATATATATATATATATATATATATATATATATATATATATATATATATATATATCGTGTATTTTGTGTAGTTTTTGCTCTCGTTGTTAGATGGTTGATAACCCTTTACATACACTTGCCAAGAACACCCTTACGCTAGATCAGAAGTAATTCACATCTTTTGTTGTGCTCTATTGTGTCGTTCTGCCACATATTTACTGTCCAGTTTAGGTGTTTATGTTCCTTCAGTACTGTGGTTGCTGTTCGGTTGGCTGCGCTTGAGGTGGATGTTGACAAGATGCCTACCTGTCGAAAAAACCGGAACCTAGATTAAGCTGGTTCCAGGAGACAGTTGGTCATTGTTTGAGGAGATGGCGTGTATGGTTCTCGTGACCGTGCTAGGCTCAAAGAGTGATTCCATTGGGTGTGGAACGAGCAACGGCCCAACCACTGCCTTGTGTACGTTTGGTAAGCAAGATTCCCCAAATAGATAGATAGGAATGATGCTGCTACGCATGTTGAAGGAGCGTGGACCGACTCCGTTGATGAAACGTGGCTCTTATCCACGTGATTCCCGGGTTTACACTGGATATAGGATGTGTGGATGGAGCTGTGGGTGGTGTAGCGCAAGCCACCCGTGGTCTTTATGTAAGTGCAGGTATCCTGTGATTATTCGCAATTCTAAAGACAAGTAAATCCAGAGAGGATGTCACCATTTATGTTTTTGAATAGCATGTAAGACAAATTCCCCATAATTTAGAGACTTTTAAGCCGAAATTTCTATGACCATGAGTGGGTCTACGGGTAACTACCGAGTTCGCCAAGATCCCACTGTGACTGAATTGATCACAAATGATGTTGGCTTTCATGTTTTTGAGGACAATCTTCCAGGTGACAGACGAATTGGCCTTGGTTGTGTGCAAAATTTTCAGGTCAAAACAAATTTGGAGTCTGACGATAAAAATTAAGGTTTTTGCATAGAATTCCAGTATCAAAAGGGTATTAAAAAAGGTGAATGCACACCAACAGTTGATTTTCAAGGAGAAACGCCAGCAGGTGGCAAAAAATAAGGCATACTTATCAAAATCGTCAGAAGTGATCAATAAACCATCACCATACGCGCCAGCTATTGTACAGTAATACAATACAAGCATATCATCGTCAGTACATCGGCCATTTAAACCAATGCATAGCTAACTTACAAACACGATGGCCCTAGGAAAGAAGAATAATTACAGAGAAGAGGGGCATAGCACTAAGTCATAATGCCCTAAGCAAACCTTCTGGGCCAAGGCACACGGTCAAAAACAGCTGGGTATCGTGCATAGATAAGGCGGCACCAGCCAGGCAGCTTTCTTGTGACTTTCCCTATCCGCATCCTAAGCAACCATTATCCCACAGATATCTCAGCAACGAACACCAAACAACCTCACCCTCCAACCACGAGCACATTATTTAGCCTTATATAATTTTGCATAGTAATTTTTTGATGCTCAGTAGCCGGCTGGTAGCTTAACAGAACGATGCCCATCCGTTATCGGTAGCTCGGCCGGCTTGCACCAGTTGCATTTTCCCTCCTCTTTTCTGTGTATTGCGGCACAGTAGCTGAGGTGGTCCCCACCTCTAGCTAACGTGTATGATGATAATGATTAAACAACAGCAGACAAGCCACTGGTGCCGAGTGCGAGCCATGTCCTGTAAGATTTCCAGCCAAGCACAAGGCGGGTCACGTTGACTCTAGCCTGGAAGGCGAGATGGACCAACAGTATCCCGTCTTTTAGTCAGTGACTTCATTCCTCCCTGCCAAGTTAACTTCTGCCCATCTAGAGTCTTGCACCACCCTACATTTGGCAAACAAAACAAGGCGTTCCTCGGTAAGCGGTGACTTGGCATACGTATCGCGTGTCCAAACCAACTTATTCAGTGCTAGTGGTTGTTCTGAGGAACTAGCAGGATTATCAATGCACAACACTCGCCTACGTACATCTTCGTTGCGGATAAGTTGGTGCCAGGAGACACCAGCAATGCTACGCGGCAATGATCAAAGACTTGAAAGTGTTTGAGATAATCAGATCGCAGGGGCCAAGTCTTACTCTTAGAATACGACGGCCCTCAATGTGGGAAATTCCTTTCTGTTGCCAAAGATGTCGCAAATTCATTAAAACAGTTCTAGCTTTTGCAATAAGTGAACTGATTTCACTGGATTTGCGCCAGTCGTTACTAATGCACCTGCCAAGATAACTGAATTTAGCAACTACCTCTAGTTCCTCGTCAACAAAAGTCAATGGATTATTAAATGTGTGGTAGTCCTGCAACAACACTGCACTTTGAAGGGTGCGAAGCGCATGCCAAATGATGGGATGATTATAGAGGTTATTCAGGGTTGAGTGGGCCGCCTCAACAAAGCACCTTTCCAGTAGAACCATCGGCTGAGTGCGCGACTGCTTGTGACCGCGGAAGCGGTATGCATAAGATTAACAAATCCGAACCTATGCATCCAGAAGAAACAAGTCCAAGCGCTACAGCTTCCATGGTCATCATCCAAGCGCGAAGAGTCAGACCTAACCCAGCAATCCCACATGCCACCCATCATATGATCGCTAGACGCATATCAATAAACTCGTTTCGAATGTTTTTGATCAGTCGTTACGCTTTGTACTCACAAATGAGTCGGCTTTTTACTGGTTATTTCTGTATTCAGCGTAATGGCGAATAAATCGAAAACAATTGTTTGCTCTTTGAGACCAACAAAACAATATCGTCCGCATATTCAAGATCAAGCAGATTTTTACCAGACAGTACCTTGAGATCACAGGATGGAGTCCACAACAAAAGTAAACAGAAAGTGAGGAAATTGGGCAAGCGCGACGAACGCGGCTTGTTGTAAGGAAGATATCCGACAGGTCGCCGTAGACCCTGACGCGGCCTATGTAGTTCTCTATAAGCCAATTTCGTAATGTTCTGGCCGTCACAGAGGATAATCAACGGTGTCCTATCTGCTGCATCGAGCAGGGTGGATAGGGGTTTGGATGCTACTGCTCAAGCCTTCCCGTCTTCTTATTTCCTCTCTTACGCTTTTCACTCTTACCGACCCGTTCCAACTTCACTTTTATCCCCCCAGTTTTCAACGCCCCGATTTTTGGCCCTCCCCCTGTGGGAGCAGGAGACTGTCCCAAACGATTGGAGCCACTCCGATATTGTTCCCATCTTCAAAGGAGGCTCGCGCTCGGAATGCGGCAACCATAGAGGAATCAGTCTGATCTCCATCGCCTCCATAATCCTTCACACTGACTGGCACTCGTGAAAGCCAGATTCGTGAGGAGCAAACCGGGTTTCGTCGAGGTCGTGGCTGCATCGACCACATCTTCACCTTGCGTCAGTTGTTGGAGCACCGTCACATATATTGGCGGCCCATCGTAGTCGTGTTCCTCGACATCAAAGGTGCATTCCGATTCGGTTGATCGATGTGCCCTTTGGAATTGTCTACTCAGGAAAGGTGTGTCCGAGAAATATGTAAGTATTGTTCGAGCATTATACGCGCGTAGCACGGGCAGAGCGAGGGCTTACGGCAAGCTGTCGTCACCCTTTACTATCTCCAGCGGTGTGAGACAAGGATGCCCGCTGTCACCTTTCCTTTTCAACTTCGCTATTGACGAAGTCATGGAGATTGCATTTACAGGACGACTTGGAAGGTGTGGAGCTACTCCCAGGAGAACGACTTCTCGACTTGGAGTATGCAGACGACATTGCCCACATCTGTGACAGCTCCCAGACGTGCCAAGACGCACTGGACAGATTAGCACTGGCTGTCAGCCGCTTCGGGATTTGCTTTGCACCATCGAAATGCAAAGCGTTCCTCCAAGATTGGCAGGGATCGCCTCCTGCGCTGAGCATTGGTGGGGATCAGCTAGAAGTCGTTCGGAACTTCAGCTACCTGGGAAGTTGTATCAGCGTCCTTGGGATCGAAGACGAGATCACGAACCGTATAGCGAAAGCTCGAAGTGCTTTTGCTAACCTTCGCCACCTATGGCGGCGGCGCGACATTACTCTCGCCCTGAAGGGTAGAGTGTACAATGCAGCGGTACGTTCGACCATACTGTACGGTTGCGAAACCTGGCCCCTAAGATAGGTGGACATGAAGAGGCTAGTTACGTTCGATCATCGGTGCCTCCGCAGTTTGGCTCACATGTGGTGGGAACACAACGTGAGTAACGAGCGTGTTCGACGCCTTGTTTACGACACACGAAAAGGAAATGAACCGCTCAGCACCGTCATTTCACGCACTAGACTCCGATGGCTGGGCCACGTGTTGCGCATGCCAGCCCATCGACTTCCACGACGTGCGTTGTTTTCTCACTGGGGATGTGGATGGAAGAAGAGGGGGGGTGGCCAAGCGATAACTTGGTCAAGAGGAATGCAGACCCTCACTTCTGTGCTGGCCTCGGTTGGAGCGTCACGGCTCCCTGGTTGGGGTCCAAAAGACGGTGAACACGTTTGGCTGGATACACTTGCTGACATGGCAAGGAGCCGACCTCAGTGGCGTTTCTGCTGTGAGTTTCTTTGTCCCTCCCCATCCGTTTTAGCCTCCCCTTCACCTACGATCTCATTTCTTGGCGTAAAACATAATAATTTTTTTCTTTTTGCCTAGTAGCCAGCTGATAGCTTACCGGAACGATGCCTATCCGTTGCTGGTAGCTTAGCTGGCATGCAACTTTTGTATTTATTTTCCTTTTTCATTTATGTGTTGCGGCACAGTAGCTGAGATGTTTCCCACCTCTAGCTGACGTGTATAGTAATGATGATGATGATTGGCTGGATACGCTTGCTGACATGGTTAGGAGCCGACCTCAGCGAAGTTCGTGTTGTGAATTTCTTTGTTGTGCCCCATCCCTCTTAGCCTCCCATTCAACCGCAATCTCATTTTTTTATCACAGTACAAATTTGCATAGTACTTTGTTTTGCTGCATGGTAGTCAGCTGTTAGCTTTCCGGAACGATGCCCCTTCGTTACTGGCAGCTCAGCTGGCGTGCACCTGTAGCTATTTTATTTGCTTTAGGTATCTCTTCACAGTAGCTGAGGTGGTTTCCACCTCTAGCTAAGGTTTATAATGATAATGAAGTGTTCTAGTATAGTGCACGTAAGATGTCCACAGATTTCATGAGAACATCTTTCCATGCAAGTATTTAACAGAATGGACCGATCGACCGAGTCGTACAGGAACACAGCTACTGTCTGTTTCCGGTGCACGCGGCGCTGCTATAGCACCTATCGTAGAGTGAATACAGACTATATACAGCTACATCCTGTGCGGAAAACTGTCTGTTTTTCCCTAATCTAGTATCCCCGTTCCGCAGTGATGACAAACGAGAATCGGGGCCATTAATTTTGTTGCAACTGGCGGTAGGCCAATTCTCCTGCGGTTAGTGTAGTCGGTGCGACTGCTCTTACTGTATATTACTACTATAATCGATTCACTCCAGTTAGCCAGTACGATCTCTTCCTTCCAGACATGTTCGAACAGGGAGAACAGTGCTTCTTAGAAGACATGACCACCATCCCTAAATAGTGCGGGTGCGAACGAATCCGTGCCAGCAGCTCCCAAACGATATGGTCGTGATCGCATTTCGGACCTCAGCTTCTGATGGAGCTTCTCAACTAACCATCCATGCTCATCATACATCACCTGAGTAGGAATGTGACCAAGTGAACTGATCTCGAAAGTGATCTGCTCAACGAGCCATACGGCGCTCCTTATTGTGAATCAGTGTATCCACGCTGTCTCTGACTGTATCACAGACGACTGGGTTCCTGGAACAAGTGGGGCGAATCAATCGGAAGAATTTGCGATAATTGCCTACTGCTCCTGCCTCCTTCATTCCCTGAATCATACTGGTCCACCAAGCTTCTTCGTCAGGATGCAGGCTCCGCTTTAGTTCGCGCCTGATAGTCCGCCTAGTTACATTGTGGATAGAGTCAGCCGGGAGTTTTCACCTGGATTCCAACAAGTTCACCGACCTTTTGGATATCCAGTGAGTGGTGCGGTGACAACTGGCAATGTGTAAGCAGAGGCTCCCGCGTCGTGCATGTCAGCCGAGATTTTATTTCACTAAAACCCGATATCACCAAGACGAGAGAGAGAAAGTTCGGTACCCAGGGTATCGTGGTAGGTTTACCTGACGAGGGACTGAGATAACTTCTGCCGCCAATCGAGTGGGGGTTTGGTACACCTCCCGGTGAAGTGCATGGGGAAAATGAGCCTACCAAGACATGAGCATGGTCAACATAAGTAATCCAGTACGAGCGACAACCCAATGTGGAATCACAACACCTGCAGCTTATGAAAACGTGATCTCATTGGGTCCACCGCTGACCAGCTATAGGTGGACGCCAACTGGTACTTTAACACCTACTGTGTCTAAAAGCGGTGCTCCGCACACATTAACAAGTGACGCTCGTCGTTGCCAGTATGGTCGTAGTTAAGTCCATAGTTACCACCCAGCTGAGCTACTGAGGAGTTCAGACGACCTACTCGCGCATTCATATCCTCAGCAACAACAACGATCTTTGAACTGGCAACAGCGAATCAGCGTGCTCAGTTCGTGCTAGATGTTCTTGACAGTGTCAGAACTACAATCGGCGGAAGCATAAGCGGAAACCACAAACAAACAGTGTCTAGTGCTACTTCGTGAATCAACCTTAGTTGAAGTCGTCGAAAACACACAAAGAACTGCATATCAGAATACAAGCAAACAAAAATGACTTAGCCGTGGAGTTGAGCACTATGCCTATTCCAAGTTGACCAGTGATTGCCGCACCAGTGTCTCCGGATGCGTGAAACCAGTAGCAAAAAAGCAAGGCGGGCGCAGTTAATTCACCAAAGCTTTGAGAGTCTTGGATCCTATTTTCGGATATAATACACGTCAATACCCAGTGTGTCCAAGGTGCGTGCGAGTGCAGCCAGTTGACGGATTTGTCTAAGAGCGCGAATATTGAACGCTGCCAGAGAAACGGAACAGCGTGGCCTTATAAGGGGCTGCTTCTGATAGGCGTCCGGTGGGTGCTGCGAGAAGGGGGCTGCAGATGACTTCAGTGACGTTGCGGTTGCTGTTACTTAAGCTGGGAATTATATAAAGTTTAGTAACGAGACGGGAGGAGGGAAAGAAACAAGTGGAAAATAAAGGAGGCACCAGCAGTAGTATGTTTTCGCTTATCGGCCTCGCTGTATACAGCAGATAAGGCGACCCTTAATAAGTTGCCGACGGTCGATGCGGGAGGTGGTTGATAGATGAGGGGGTAATCATGGCTGTACGAGGTCTGAGATACTGACAGGGCGCCGAGACCTGGACAGCAGGACGATTAGGGTCCACAATCACAGCGTTTGGCCTAAATGCTAGTCCGCAACGCAGCGGGTAGGTAGGAATGAGTT